CAGGTAATACCTGTTGATCACTGTCTGTCTGTCTGTTTGGACCTGTTCTCTCTGACTTCCTTCTCTGTGGTTTTCTGCCTTTTTTGTCTTTCTCTACCTCTCCTCCTTCTCCGGCTAGTAGATGAAAAGAAGGGGCATGCCTTTTGGTTGTCCCCCATTTCTAGGTAGCATGAGGCGGTTTGGCTGGGCTCCCTTCCTGCCTCCACCTGAGTAAACATGGACCTTTCTGCTCCCCAGAGTCAGCACCCATCACCTTCCCTTCCCTGCTCAGTCCCTTCTCCCTGAGAAGGAAGCCCTGCTCCCCCAGCCCCTCCCAAGGCCCATGCTCCCTCCCTTTGCCTGAACTTACCTATTCTGGGCCCCATGACTATGGAATGCAGTGAGTTCCAGCTCCTAGTTCAGTCTCAGGACCTGGTGCTCAGCAGAGAGGAAGCACTGACGGAGGGACCCCAGAGACAGCTTCGAGCCACAGCAGGATGCGTTGGTGCAGGAAATCCACGCACTGGCCCCTGCTTCTTTGGCTACAGTGGACAGTTTGGGCAGGTCTTGCTCACACCACCTCCTCTGCAAGTGTCTGTCTCCTTGTTTCACTTGCTCCTTCCTCTTTCTCTCTGCTCTGGGCCCCCATCTCTGCCCTAGCACTTGCTTCTCTGTCTGCCTGTCTTTCCTCTCTTCTGTGAATCCCAGACCTCTGGCTGGGACAGCCAGGGTCAGAGTCTATAAGGAGGTGGGGCTTACTTAGGTTCAGCCCCCCTTTCTCTTCCCCCCTCTCCCCCCCACCGTGCCCCCACAGGGAGGAAGCAGCAGCCTCCAGTCAGTGGCTCCGACAGCCTGGTTTCTTTGCAGGCTCCCATCTGTCTGTCTGTCTGTCTGTCCTTGTCTGATAGCAGTAGAAGTGGGTATTACACAAGGGATGTTACACCTTAAGCCCTAGGGCTATTCAGGGGACAAACACTCCAGAATTCCCAGTCTCCTGGATGTACTCACAGTCTTCATCTGAGTCCCTTCTACTGAACCCTTTGCCTTCTTGGTCCTCCATGAGCCATGGGCAGCGCTTGCTCCTGCACTGAGCCCTTGTCTTCCATCACTACCTAAGCCCTCATCCCCTCTCTGAGTACCGCCAACAAGCTCCAAGGACTGACCCTGTCTACTCAGGTAACATGCCCACCTTTTTGGGGGACTCATGGTAGACACTCTATTCATCACAGCCACCGAAGACAGGGCTGGGGTGGGATAGGGAAGAAGGGGAGCAGAAGAACAGATGTGACATCCCCTGAGATTTCTGGACTGAGGACAGAGATTCTGCAGCCAGCTGGAGGGCTCCCATCTTCTGCTAGCATCCCTGAGGGACCTTAGGCAAATCTCAACACCTCCACAAGCGTCATTGCCCTCATCTGCAAAGAATACAAGAATCCTCCCTTGCAGTACTGCTCTTTCAAAAGTTCACTGGGCCTTGAAGAAGCCAAGCCTGGAGCAGGACATGGTCAGGCCACATGACCAGTAACCTCAGCACCTATGACTGGAGGCCAGGGGGAAGGAAGATTTCAGTCTAAGGCCAGCTCCAGAGTTAAACCCTATCTGAAAAACAAACTAAAGAGCAAAAGGCCCACGTGTTTGCCTAGCAAGTGGGAGGTCCTGAACCCAGTCTGGAGAAGGGAGTGGCAGAGGTGTTGCTCAGAGTAGAGCAGGAAAAAATAAAATAAATCCTACGTTTCCAGCATGCACCACACATTCCCGCCAACACAAGGCTCCCTGGGGCCCAGCCAATCTGGAAATTACATACTAGACACTTAGTCAATCTCAGTCACTTTTCTGGTAATCAGCTTGTACCTTGGACCTCTGATGCCAGACTCAGGCTGAATCCCAGGCTGAATCCTCAGAGAAAGATTCTGATTTTCCCCAAATCTATTTAGTCAAAAGTAAAGCTGGGGGATATAGGTTTTGAGTCTAGCTTTGGTGCAATGGTCGAGAAACTTCTAGAAGCCCCACTGTTAGCAAAATGAGCTCCCTTCCCTTAGTTTAGTCCACTCCTTCCCTTCTCCACAGATTAGCATGTTCCCTTCTTAGGCAACACAGGCCTTTATAGCAAAACCAGTAAATGATCAACTTCCAACACCCTTTACATTGGAATGACAGTCCTCTGGGGCAGCTATCACCATATAAGGCAACAAGAGCCCCTCAGAGTGACCTTCAGGTCTGGGCAGTTGCAGGACCCCTTATCTACTACTTGGGCAGCAGCCATAAATCCTAGTCCACCATGATGAAGCCCCTGGCCCTCACATCCAACCAGGGTCTTTGCCTCCTAGCCCCTTCTAGCCCCTCCTAAACTTCCTAGGTTGTATAGGTCACCCCAGACAATAGCTTGTGCATTTTTTTACTTCTCCCTTGTGAGGAGTCTTGCTGGCCCCGCCCCACCTTCCTGACAATAAACCTTTCTTTGTTTTCCTACCTGGATGTCCTCTTGGTTCTCTGGCAAAGACTAATCTTATTTAAACTTACACCCACTTGGCTCCCATGGCTGTATAGGGTACAATTTAAAGCTGAGGGTTTGAAATTCACTGGCATTAAGTAGGCACTCAGGAGAAAGCCTAACATTGTATAGATTGAAGAAGTCTTTGAAAGACCAGAGAGGTGAGCATGTGGCCACTGAGAGAGGTCAGTAGCTGTTTTGGGTTGAGAGAAAAGCACAACCCCTGCTTGGCACCAGTGGCTGGGCCAGCAATCTTATCTACTCAGGAAGTTGAGATCTGCGGGTCAAAGTTCAAAACCACTCAGGGGTGGTAGGGAGGGCGGTAGGAAAGTCCAGGAGACTCTTATCTCCAATGAACTACCAAAAGGTGAAGATAGAGGTATGGCTTAAGTGGTAGAGTGCTAGCCTTAAGTGAAAGAGCTAAGGGACAGGGCCCAAGCCTGAGTTCAATCTCCAGTACTGTTTCATGTTCACAAGAAAGAAAGAAAGCTGGGCATAGGTGGCTCACGCCTGTAATCCTATCTACTCTGGAGGCTGAGATCTGAGGATTGTGGTTCAAAGCCAGACCAGGCAGGAAAGTCTTTGAGACTCTTATCTCCAATTAAAACCAGAAGTGGTGCTGTGGCTCAAAGTGGTAGAGTGCTAGTCTTGAGCTGAACAGCTCAGGGACAGGACCAAGGCCCAGAGTTCAAGCCCCATGACTGCCCCCCCCCAAAAAAAAATAATAAGAAAGAGGTTTGGCGGAGTGAAGGGAAGGGAGGGAGGAAGAAAGTACAGCTCCTGATCCTCTTGGAAAAGTCAGCTTCGTTCTATGACTCCAAGTCCCTCAGTTTAAAGTCAGCACTGTATGATCTCATGGAGACGGACAGAGGTGGACCTTCCTAGACTTGAAAGCGCAGGTGCAACATTGAGAAAGAAAAGATTTCTTTTGACTTCTAGATTCTCTATTGCTCCCATCTAAGCCTCAGAGGCTGAAGAAGTTTTACACATGGAATTGGCAGGGTACTTATTGGGACCAGAATATTCCTGAACTCAGAGCTATAGCGCTGGTGCAAGGCTCAGGTAGCCCAGAGCCTCTGAGACTTAGGCTAACAATTGCACAGAGAGTGGTAGCTCAGGCTTTGTAAGAGACAACTTAAAAGATGTTTTTGCTGGGTCTGTGAATGAGCTAAAAGCCCCCCAACTTTGTATCCGTGCCCTTGGATCTGAGCCATTCTTTGCAGCAGTCCCTTTGTGATCACCTTGTTTGCAGGGGGAAAGAGACAATTCAGATGAGCATCTTGTGTGGAAGGCAAACTGCCCCTCAAGCAAGCAATGTCTTCCTATGTTAAAGCAAACAGCTCCACATTCAGGAGACCCGCCTTGTTCTTGTTCTGTTGTAGTAACTATGAGAAAACTCCAAAATTCCTCCTGCGACAAAGACTGAGCTCATGATTAACTAGGCTATATCTAGGTCTGTTTTAACTCTGCAAGCCCTTCTCATTCCCTGCCCCAGTTTTCCCTATTTAGCTTGGGGTACCTCTGAAGACAGTGAAAGATGTCTTCCTATGTCTGCCTGTAATAAATCTCCTTTTTTTTTTTTTGCCTCTTTATTTGACATAGGGGAGTGAGTGGCCAGATCTAACTTAGGACTCCTGGACTTTGGGTCTGAGGTCTAAAAACTGGTTTGGGCTTGAAGTATGGCCACAGTGCTTTTCATTCCAGCTCAACCACCAGCCAACACTCGCTCTCAAAGGTACCGCACCTGGTGTGTACGGCTCTGAAACACTTATGGGGTCCCAATACCATCTTGTGGGTTTCCATTGTTTACAAAACTTGATGCTCTTTTTTTTTTTTAAAGAGTCTCATGCTGCTGGCAAAGCCTGTGTGACTTGCAAAACTCTGCAGCTTTCAGAGCTCACAACGTTTGCCAGCATTGTGTCTCATGCCAAGCCTGATGCTGTTTGTAAAACTGTTGGCAGAATGGGAGCCTCTTCAACCCACTAAGGCCTGTAAACCAGACAAAACAGGACACTCCGTCTTCTAGGACCAGCTGCTTTGGGGTACAATGGGGCAATGCTGGGCGCCACATAACAGCTCAAATTTGGACCCAACTCTGTCACCATCCTGCTGTGGGGCTTCAGGCAAATCCCCTGTCCTCTCTGGATCTCTGTCCTTCCCCTCAGTTGAGTAGAGATGGCAGAGTAAGCCGGAAACTCCAGGACAGTTCTGAGGGTCTCAATGAGAAGGTTCAGAAGATGAGGAGGCTGAGGTGAGAAGAGGAAGAGAGGCCAAAGGATCCTTCCTGAAAAAGGCACTAAGCTGCCTCCTCAGCACCTCAGTACCCACTTCCCTGTGGCTTGCAGCCAGGGAACAAATATCTATAAATGAGCTCTGGCCAGTCCAGCAACAAGCTGGGCCTCTATCAGAGCCTGGGTTTCCCCAGCCCCCACAGACACAGGGCTCACACCCCTGCTTTGCAGACCCACTTGTGCCCCCATTAGATCCTTCAAGGAAAGCAGCAGTGTGCCATTCAGAGAGGTTCACGTACCTGGCTTATGAACTCCATCCAGTGTCAGCAACAATGGAAGCCTGGTACCCAGGTCCATGTAGACAGGAAGAGAGAACTCATTGAATTCAACAATCCCCATCTGCAGATGGGAAGGCTGAGGCTGGGAAAACGGTGACCATGAGGAGTCTCTCTCTCCTTGTGTTTCCCCAGCTAGTGGCTGAGAAACAGGCCCCATCCTGTTGAGCATCAGTTTGGCCCGGCTCCTCCATTCCCATGCTGGCTGCAGCTCATCTCCCAAGCATTCGAGAAGTTATGAGCCAGCAAGACAACTGGGGGGTCCAAGAGGGAGTGTTCTCTCTCCCTCCCTCCCTCCCCAGGCTCAGCTGTTCCAGCTCATCCAGACTGGACAGCCCACCCCAGAGCTGCTTAACAGCTTGCAGGCTTCTCTCAGATCCATTCCACCCCCCTACCCTAAGTTCTTTGGTCCCAGCAGTGGCCTTCCCTGGATACCACTGCCTCAATGTTGTGCTACAAAATCTACACCTTGCCCTGGAAGTGGCAGCCCCAGATGGAGCATGAATTGAGGCACTAGCCAGTTCAATCCTGACCCAGGACTCACTCTAAGACTCAGTGTAGTAAGATATCAAGAAACCTTCTAACAGGGCTAACTAGACTCTTCCATTTCATCCTATTTTCTCTTCAGTGTACAGTTTCCTTCTCTTTTTTTGCGGGGGGGGGGATCTGGTCATGGGGCCTGGGCGCTGTCCCTCAGCTCTTCAGTTCAAGACTAGCGCTCTACCACTTGAGCCACAGCGCCACTTCTGGCTTTTGTTCTTTTTGCTTATGTGGTGCTGAGGAATCGAACCCAGGGCCTCATGCATGCAAGGCAAATGCTCTACCACTGAGCCACCTTCTCAGCCCCTACAGCTTCCTTCTCTAGGGAGACTAAATTCCTGAGGTCTTATTAGGTGATGGGGGTGGTGTCACTTGCTCTCTCTGATTCTCCAAGTCTTCAAAATGCCTCCTAGAGCTGTCAAAGCTTGGGTGAGCTGATGGATGGATTAGTGCCTGCTAAGTTCTGAGAGCTCAGCAGACACAGCCATTATGAATGTGGTGACAATGGTGATGGTGATGATGCCTGTAATTCTGGAAGCAGAGAATGAGAAAGTAAATCAGAGCAGGCATATGTCAGGCTGGTCTGTCCTGACTGACAACTCCATGAAAATAAATCCCTGGGAAGACCTGCCTTGAGGTCCTTGAGGTACTGCCAAAATGTGTTTGAAGCCCTCCCTCCCCTGACCACCAGCTCTGGCTCTGCCACCCATACACTAGCATTGGTCAGGTCCTTCTCTCTCTTAGTCCTCAGTTCTGTAGTCCTGAAGTGGGGAGAGGACTGCGAACAGATCTTGCCTGGCTCTGCCCGTGTCATTTGGAAGAACCATACGAGCTGGGCTTCCTTATTAATAATCTGTGTCCTTGGGGGAGAGGATATTGATGGGAGTGGTGTGCAACAAAACCAGGAGGGGCAGCAGGATGAGGGGAGGGTAAGGAGGAGCTGGGGGTGGGAGCAAGCCTCTGTCTGGGCAGGGAGAGTGTGGAGCCAGGGTCCAACTCCCTGAAGACTTTGTAACACTGCCCCCCCCGGAGGCAACTAGGAGCAGTGCACCCTGGCTTTTCCTCCTAAAGGATCTCAGGGTGGTGGAGACCTTTGGAATCATCACCTATCCATCACCAGGCAGGAGAGGGAAGAGTCATGGGAGGGGCGAACATGTGTGAGCTAGCAAGAGCAACCACCGCCTGCTCCCTGCTTTTCCTTGCCCGTGTTACTCTGAGACTTTCAAACCTGCCCTCTCCATCCACATACCATCATATACCCATGCTCCTTGGTCTAGGCCATCAGCATCCTGTCTGGAACATGCCCCAATTGTTACCCCATTTCTTTTCACCCTCTGCTCCATCTTCTTGCATCCAGAGGGAGCCTTCTAGGTCTGAAAAAATCCCATCCCGACCCTCCTGCTGAAAGCCTGCCCAGCTCTCCATTAGTCCCTTCTCATCTCTCAGCCTGACATTGAGAGGCCACATCTGTCCAGCTGTATCTTCTGCAGGGTCACTGACCTCCCCTGCAGGGGGGGATGAGGAAGAGGCTGGCTGCAAATCTGGCTCTGGGACAGAAGTGCCTGGGTGTGACTCCTGGCTTCTCTACTTGGAATCTATATCATTACTTAATTCTTAGTTTCTAGGAAGCTGCTGGGACCACGATGGCTGCTTCATCCAGGAGGATGAGTCACTTCCTCCTTAGTGCCTTTGAACCTGGGGATGGAAGGCAGGAAGCAGCTTGAGCCCAGCAGCGAGCCCTGCGGACAGTAGCTGCTTCACACCCAAGGCCCAGAGCCCTCAGGGATGCTAGGAAAACCTCATCTGGACGCAGGCCAAGGCCAGGTCTGGGTAGGGCCTCTCAGCTTGCCCTGAAAGATCCACCTTGTATCCTTCAGGGCGGTTTATTTGCAGCAATACCAGTTTGTATCTGGCTTGATTCTCTTTCTCCTCACTTCCTACCCCTACCCATGTGCCCCTTTGTTCCATGCAGACTTCCTCTGGATTCGCTCCTTCTGCTGTCCAAGTGCTCAGGTCTAAAATGCTCACTGACTCCTGCCCGCCCCCACCTCACTTTTTGTTTACAGGTAAAATGCAGGTGTGCCCCGGTTTGGGGGCAGACGGAGTCTCTTGTTTTCCCCAAATGGCAGTCTTCTCTTGGGCTAGGGCATGAGAGGATCTCTCTGATAAACAGGTTTAGTGGCAACTGCATCAGAGATAGGCCAAGACCTAGATCTGGGAAAGATGCAGAGTCTCTGCCTCAGAATTTTTCAGATGGGGACTTGAGGCTCTTGAGTGAAAGACTTCAGTCTTCTATAAACAGCTAACAAGAGCCAAGTGCTGATGGCTCATGCCTGTAATTCTAGCAACTCAGGGGGGCTGAGACCTGAGTACTGCAGTTCAAAACTAGCCTTAACAGAAAAGTCTGTGAGACCTTTATCTCCAAGTAATCAGCAAAAGGTCAGGAGTGGAGGTGTAGTTCAAGTGGTAGATTACCAGCCTTGAGTGAAACAGCCCAACAGAAGCTTGAGGCCCTAAGTTCAGTCCCCAGTATTGGCACCTGCTTGAGTTTCCTCCACTCTGGTCCAATGTCCTTCTTCCTTTGTCTACCTAATAAGCCACATCCTTCAGGGACCATCTCCAGTCCCACCTCCTGCCAGCCCAGATGTTTCCTGACCCCTTCAGGAAGAACACAGGTGTGGTCAGGCTCACTTCCTCATTTTTTATGCATCCGTAGTGGAGGAGTGCCCAGCAGGCTGGCTGTACCACAGAGCCTCCCAAATCCAGTCTCCTGCCCCCAGGCTTCTCCTTGCTATGACTCTGGGCTCCCCTAGGAAGGACAGCAGGGAACAATCTCAGTCTCTCAGAGAGAGAGATATCCAGGGGAGCTCCTGGCTGTGGTGATGATGGCTGTCCAGGACAGCACACAGCATCTCACTAATGTTTCTCTGAAGCAAACACTGCAGGCACTAGGAACCTCACCCACAAAGGGGAAGCAGAGACCAGGAGAAGTGGAGGCACTTGCCAGCGTGTGCACAGCTGGTTATCTCCTGCCTCCAGTGAATGATCTTCCCCTGGGCCACACTGCCTCCTAGTGGCTGGGAGGCCACAATATTGGGGTTTAATTTGAGCTCCTTGGGTCTCTTGCCCTTGGCTGGGAAGGGGGGCAGCCACAGGTTCTCCCCGATACATTTACAACTTCCCCGTGGGGGGTGAGGAGCAGTGTGTATGGGGGGAGGGCAGAGAGGGACAGAGTGTCACCATTTCCAGCTCTTCTAGGACTCAGGCAGGGCACCAGCAGCTGGCCTTCTCTTGGACTGAAGAGTGGGCTGCTTTCTGAGACCTGGCCCAGGTCTGGAGGGCTAGCTTCTTCCAGGGATATTCTGGGCTCTCCTCCCTTTCTAAGGCAAGAGAGGGTGGACAGTGAGCTTATGGACCTCCCCATGGTCCTGAGACAGAGTGACACAGGCTTACACAGTTCTAACACCTGCTTGCAGCCTTTCTCTCTGCGTGTGTGTGTGTGTGTGTGTGTGTGTGTGTGTGTGTGTGTGTGTTGTGTATGCTGCTAACAGGCTTTAACTCAGGCCTGTTCCTTAGCCTCTTTTTTGGCTAAAGGCTGACACTCTATCACTTGAGCAAGAGCTCTGGTTTTTTGTTTTTTTTTTTTGGTGATTAGAGGTAAGACTCTCCTACTTGGGCTGGCTTCGAACTAGTATCCTCAGAACTCAGACTCAGAATAGGTAGGGTTACAAATATGAGCCACTGGCCACCAGTTCTTTACCTGTATTTAGCCTGCACCATATTAGCACAGAGCTGGCACTTGAGAAGTACTTACTCAATGAACATACCCCCATTTTAGAGAAAAGGAAACAGATTTTCAGATGTGACAGGCTGGAATCAAATTAGTCTAGAACCAAGATTGGTGCCTTATCTGCTGCACAGATAAGGCTCCACTAAGAGGTGAACAAATGTGCCTGTCTTACAGCATCTTCCTGAAATTCTCCCATCAGGCAGGGCTTAAGTAGAGCTTGCCTCCACCACCAACATCAACCTGCAGGCTACCTTTTAGTCCACTCTGATTTTGCCCACTTCTTTCCCACCCAGTGCCCAGAATCCCAGACCTTGGTTCAGAAGCTCTTCTTGGTTCCATGCTCTTCCTCCAATGTTCCTTCATCTTCCCACTCTCTACTCACAATTCCTTCCCCACCAACAAATGGTGAGAATTGTGCATAAATAGCTCCAATTGAAAACAAAATATTACAAACCAGGCTCATGTCTGTAATCCTAGCAACTCAGGAGGCTGAGATTGGAGGATTGCAAGAGATAGCCTAGGCAGAAAAGTCCTTGAGACTCATATCCAATTAATCAGCAAAAAGCTGGAGCTATGGCGAAGTGGTAGAGCATCCACATACCACTCAAGCCTGGGCCCTGAGTTCAAATCCTAATACCAAAGTTTATAAGACTTCTTTTCATCCCATAGCTGAGTGGAGTAGCACAATTGTCATCCTAAATGACATAAGAGGCTGAAATTGGGAAATCATGGCTCAAGGTCAGGTCAGGCAGAAAAGTCCATAAGATTTCATCTCAGTGGAAGAAGCTACATGTGCTGTCAGGAAACCTAAAATAGGCAGGAACATGC